GTGAGATGAGGGTTAAGAGTACAGTATATGTAAAGCCCTTTAGGACAGGATCTGACTGGCACATAGAAGGAATGCCTCTGTGGTGTAAGATCCCATTTAAAATTCAAATAAATCTATACATACATAAATATAGGCCAGCAGCATATAATACAGCCAGGGGGTGGGGTGGGGTGGGGGTCTGGGGCAGATTCTGTGTTCCTAGAATTAAAGACTCTGGAGTCTAGAGTTCCAAGCCATTACCTTCCTGGCTCACCTCAGCTGGCTTGAGTAGGACTCTTGTTTCATGGAATCGAAGGAACCCTGCCCAGAACCGGTGTCCTCCTCCCTCTGTCACCTCCCACTCCAGCCACGCAGGGCCTGACTTTCTCAGCCTTGAACTTGTGACTCACGCTCCTGTCCATACCAAGAACAGCACTGTCCACCTCACCCCTTCATCTTCCCAAGGCTCTGTCTCTCCCTTTTCGGAGTCCTCATCCTGTAACACATCTCTACAAAACCTTCCCTGGCTGCCCAGCCACAGAACCACAGAACATCCCTGCTCCCTCCAAGCCCAGTTACTTCCTGTAGGTCTCCCCCAGCCCCCTCCCACCGCCCCACCCTGGAAGGACCTATCCAAACTCCACTCCTCAGCTGTCTCACCCCCTGGGGCAAAGCCCTCACCTCCTCTGCACTTACTCGTAGATCCCACCTGTTTAAAAGGGAAATACCACGACCAGAGCAGCCTCCTGAACTGCTGCGAAGCACACACCAGAAAATGTGTGCAATCACTGAAAAACATAAAGTGCTTTCCAAACCTGTGAGCCCTTCCCCGAGATGCTCGGAAGAATGCAAAGTAACCTGAGGATGAACCCGTCGGCTCTTCATTCCCTGCTGCTCTGTCTCCTTTACGATCCCCCGGGGAAGTCCAAGGGGTCCCCACACCCACCAGCCATGGAGAGACGGGCTCCGGGAGTACCTGGCGGTGGAGCCGCTGTCTCCAGGGAGCAGAGGCGGAACCTCACTCCCACAGCCTCGCAAACTCTTCCTACCCCCCGAGCATTCGAGGACTTGGAAAACACAGCCTGTCCCGGTCTGCTCATGAATGTGAATTTCAAATGCTCTGTGGTCCATAATAAATAATGTACATAAGGGGCCGGTTGGATGGAGCACAGCAGGATGCAAGAGTGAACATCAGAACGCAGTAGCCCAGACTTAATCCGACTGGCCAACACCGAAAGGAAATGGGGCATCTTTTTACAACTCCCTCCACCCTCGGTGAGAAATCCCGACGCAGAGAGGCTGTAAAATTATGGCACCTTCGGCTAATTTTATACCACACGGACACAAAAGCGACTTTATTTTCCCTAATTACGGAAAAGAACGAAATCGCCGGACCCTCCTTCTACCCATGTTCTCCATCCAAGGGTTCTAATTTAAAACATTTGGTGGGGAAAACAATTCATTGTCCTGAAGGAAAAAAAAAGATCCGAGTCGCTGTGAGCTTAATTCTAATACGCAGAGAGGAAAAAGGCTTCTCCCGCGTGATGGCACAATGACAAAATGAGTTAATTACCGACTCATCGCAAGACAGATGTACTCGTCCTCGGAACAGGAGCCATTATTTCACACGAAATAATGACCCAGATAAAAAGTAATGACCGCACGCGGTAGCCGCCAGGGACACAGCTTCATCACAGCCTGGGTGAATGGCAATTAACAAGTGCCACCCTCTGTACACACACAGGGACCAAGCTGTTCGTTACATGTGTATTTATTGAAAACGCAGTTTCAGTAAATTTCTTCCCAGGAAGCTCCTGCAGCCTCCTACCTGTGTGATGACAGGAGAATGTACACGTTGTGTGGAATTCTGCCATCAGCTGGAACAGCTGCTGACCCCGCAGAGGGGCTCTGGGCACCCCTCTGTTCCCTACACACACCACACACACACACACACACACACACACACGCGCGCGCACACACACGCACAAACACACACACCACACACACACACACACACACATACACACTCACACACACACACACACACAAACACACACACGCACACACACAAACACACTGACACACACACGCACACACACACACACACACACACGCACATGCGCACACACACACACGCACACACGCACACACACACACACCACACACATACACATACACACACACAAACACACTCACACACACACACAAACACACACACGCACACACACGCACACACTCACACACACGCGCACACACACACGCACACACACGCACAAACACACAAACACACGCACACACACGCGCGCGCACACATGCACACACATACACACACATGCGCGCGCACACACACAAACACACACACACACACACACACACACACACGTGGTGTTTTCTCCAGAAATCCTGTCCAACAACAGAAAAGAGGAGCAGAGGAAAGGGGGGAGGGGATGGGGGAGGCCCAGTTCCATCCATTGGTCCCTCTCCTCCTGGTTGCCATGGCCACCGGCCTAGAAACTAAAGCCACAGCCTGCACTGACAGCCGGGGATGCTGGATGCGTCCCGGTCCAGCCCTCGGCCACGGGAGTGCAGGGGTGAGTGGTGGCCCAGCCTCGGCACACACCCTGCCATCCATGACGAGGAGCCGCCTCTCTCTGGAGAGGAGCAGGGGTGAGAGCCTCCAGCTCACACAAAGGGAGATGAACCTGGGTAAGAACCTCAGGGCTCCCCTCGTGTGCAAGGTGTCTAGTCTGCCTGGACCCAGTGATGTTTATTGGAAAAACCGGGTGCACGGCAAGTGGGAGGAGACGCGGGGGGCTTTAACGTGGACACTTTTTGGCCCTGGCCGGGGTGCTCAGTTGGTTAGAGCGTCATTCTGACACGCCAAGGTTTCATGTTCCATCGCCAGTCAAGAAGATACAAGAAGCAACCAAGGAACGTATCAACAAGTGGAACGACAAAGGGATGTTTCTCTCTCTGTCTCTCAAAACAACGAAAAGTTTAAAGTGTATAATTTTTAAAATGCCGAAAACAAACAGAATGAATGAGCTAACGTCAATGACTGATTTAACTAGGAAACAAATCATCAGATCCTGATGTATACTCTCTCTCTCTCTCTCTCTCACACACACACACACACACACACACACACACAAAACCAGTGTGTTTGGGGAAAAGAGTGGTGGGATAAGAGTAAACGTTTTAAATAAACACTGGCTCGTCCTTCAAACCATAACTTTGAGGTTATCTCCTCCTCTGCTGGATGGATGTCCATCTATACTTCCGACGCGATAGACACTCAGCATCCGACTGCCTGCTAGTCAGGCCACTGTCTCCTTAAGGCCTGAGATGGGTACATGCAACGGGTCAGCCACGCATTGACCAGGTTTGGTTAAGACAAAAGCACTAAATCCCCTGTTTTTAGAAGACCGTATATAACAGTGTGGCCAGAGTCTCATGCCTCCTTTTCCCCAGTTACCCTCAACTATTCTAAGCATCTGAGTCTTAATTACAAAACCAAGTCTAAAACTACACCCCTCCCCCCGACCAAGTACTCAGGCCACGGGATAAATTCCGCCTCTCGGATGTCCCTGCCCAAGGTTATTAGAACATTTCACTTCAGCCATCCAGAGAAGATGGCCCTGCTTATACAGACAACTACATGAAGTCCACAAACACGTGTGTTCTCAGGCGGATGTGTGGGGGAACACAGATGGCTTCCCCCCCACCCCCATTTCTTAAGTAATAATCTGAATTTTACCAGAGTAAAATTACTGGCAACTTTGGCCCGAGAGAACATCTGATTCCTAGTCTACAGTCTAGGCCCCTGCCATACGTGAGCGGTGATTCCCAGGGCCTTGTGAAGCATGAACATTCAATAAAGGTTGAAGGGAGGGCGGCAGGAAGGGAACAACAGGGATCACCGGGTGTTTACAGGGACAATCTAATGATTTCACTCTGCCGCAACATTCCTTTCAACGGCCTCCCGATGCTTTTACTGCCCCGCCCTGGCCCCTTCCCCCACCCCAGACACCCATCCCCGTTCTTCCCCGAGGTCCTCTGATCTGTGGGTGCCCCTCGGCTCCCTCCTGCCTCAGGCCCTCACACAGGGTGCTTCCTCTGTTTGGAGGGCTCCCCAGTCTCATCACCAGATAATCCCTCTTCATCCTTCTGTCACAGCCCGATGCCTCTCTAGGCCACACCACGTGGCTTGTTGTGAGAACAGCAGGACAGGGGCCACCCCTATTTGGGTCTCTGTATCCAAGCACCAAGGACTGTTTCTAGCCCAAAGTTAGAAATGGCCAACCTATATAGTTACTGATGAACTCCCTACTTGACTGATTTTGGATCTCACACAAATCCTATCACCTCTCCAGGGTGTGGAATGGTCCATTCTTTTGGAAGACGGGAGTGGAGAACAAGATAATCCTTAAGCAATGAACGGAGCACGTCTGGGCAAGGGCAATCCTTCTGCAGAACAACGTCATCGTATTAAAATCAAATGCACCCAGCAATTAGGCGGCAAACTTCACGTGGCATCAAGAGGCGTTCAAAACCAGACACATTTCTGGGCAGAGACAGAATCCCCCGCAATTAGGTAACGTTTCCTGGTACGACTGCATGTCCGAGGCCACAGGACGCTGGCACACTCCCCCTCCAGGAAGGGGAAGGGCTGGTGGCAATGAGGAACCATAGGACAAGGGGAATGTAAGGTCTGGGAGGGTCACATCACCTTGAGGAATTGAGGGGAGTCCTGGCAGTGGGGCCCCAGGCCTGTCAGCTGTTCACATCACTCCAGCCTTAAAGAACAGGGTCTTGGGTCCTGCCAGGCTGGGGGCAGGGGAGGAACCGCCGTGTTCCAGATCAGAGTGAACTTCAGCCCGAGCCATGTGGGAAGGGGGTTGCACCCCCAGGGGGCTGCTCAAGGGCCCAGCCCGAGGAGTATGGCTGACCGGCCCCAAGCCAGCCCTGCCTGTTCCCTCAGGGGAGAACCTATTCAATGGCCTCCTCGACGCAGGGCTCACCTTCTTAAAGAACTCTGGGATGATTTTTTGGTCTGTCAGGTGGATTAAGGAGGAACAGCAATCTAATTCCAAGACGTAGCCTTCATTGTGCAGATCAGATTTCTGAGATCTGAAGAGAGAGGGGAAAACAGATAGGCAACGATTATAATTTTGCATGATATTTAAAAAAAAAATGGAGGTGTTTAACAAAACCCAAAATTATTTCCCGAAAGCAAATGCCAAAAAGGCAGTGCTGAAAAATAATCTGTGGTGAACAACTCAAGCAATATAGAGAGATTTACATCAACCTCCCACACACGTCATCAAGTAAAAAGACTTCCTTCTAGAATGATGGGGTTTGCACAATATGGCTTATACATTGAACACCACCACACACACACACACACACACACACACTCCAATAATGTGTCTTTAATGCATTAGCTATATCTCTAATTTTTTTCTTTTTACTTTTTCTGAAGAGAATACATTCACATAGTCGTCACGTAACAAGACTTTAAATGGCTCAATCCCTACAGAAGACAATCTGGCAAAATCTATCACAATTAAAGCTGCAGCAAGAAAAGACCATAAGGCAACAAGAGCAGAAATTCTAGGAGAAGAGGGGAGGGGCTGAGGTAAGCATCCTTCGGGTCAGAGCTGAGGTGTGCAGGGCGCCCCTGCCCCTGCCTCTGCCCCACACAGGTGGTGGGGCTGCCTCTCCTTTTCCCACCAAATGGACATGCGTGTGACACAATGCTATGCACATGCAGAACCAGAGGCAAAGTGGTCACCGGGACATCCCACTGCTGCTGCAGCCATTCCTTTCAGGGCTCCTGTAGGACACACCCTTGGGTCTGAGGAGCTCCTGGGAGCCCCATGGCTGCCAGAATGGAAGGTGATTCCTGCAACAGGAAGTGGGACTGCAGCTAAGGGACAGAACGTGCTCTTTCTTCATGGGGGTGGGGTGTGGGGAAGTGGCAGGACTTGAAGACGAAGCCTGGGCTCACACCACAAGCACAGTCACTCTCCACCGGCGGAGGGGATGACAAGCCCACTTACTAGAGCGCTCCACCAAAGAGGGACCCATGCCAGCCCCTGTGGGTGCAGGTGTAGCCAGAAAACTCCTAAAAAGTGGTCACTGTCACACTGAACTCCACCAAAACAGTTCCCACATGAATATTTGCTATAATCATTTTTATAACAAATTTCTAAGATTCTTATGTATCAAGCCATTTATGCTACTATTAACCATCTGGGCATGACTTCCATGAAACTCAAAAGTGAAAATATCAAAAGAGGATTTGGTTTCCCCCAGGTGTGCAACGGTGATTGGGTCAGCAAGCAACAACAGCATACTTTGGCTTTATTTTTTCCTTCTGACCTATCCTTTCACGAGTAGGGACGGAGGCACATACTTCTGAAATAGAAAAGAATACACTGACTCCAAACTGCTCAAACCGGGATGAACGAAACCAAAAGAATAAGCCACTTCTGCGCCCCACCCTTCTTGCCTAAAAGTTTCATCAGAAATTAGATTCATGTTCTCATCCCCCCTGCTACTGTTTTATCCCCCACATCCTCCCCGCTCCATAAACAAAAGACATATGAAGAAGAACCATGGGCAGAAGATTCCAGACTTTTGAAAGAGAAGACTTGGCCATGACATACCGTCATGTTCTGTGTGGATCTCAGACAACAAAGACAGGCGTGGGAGGAGGCGTGCTCACAGATGTGAAACCCCAGCTGCTCTGTCACACGGAGACAGATGCCAGACTGCAGGAGGTTATTTATAAATACCCACTGAGCCTCGAAATGATTAGGCCGAAAAATAGTAATCATCAAGTCAACACTGCCTGTACTTGGTTAAACACCCATGCAATGAATGGAGGCCAGAGGAGTCTGGCTCTGAGCAGTTCACACCCAGATTCGTTAAGAGATCACCGTTAGTGCGGGATCTCATAACTACCATCTCTGCTTCTGGAACAAGAGGTTCTGTGCAAAGAAACACAGCTCTGGTTCATCCTGTCAGATAATTAACTCGGTGACTGAACTGAAAGAAGTGTCAAAGGTCAACAAAACTCAGCATTATCACAAATTTTCTAGGTGAAACGTGAAAAACCACATGTCAGTCTACAGTCTCTTGGTAAAGCAAATTGAATGCATCTTGGAAGAAAAGATGAAAAACTAATAAGCCTCCTCTTGCATTTAGGAATGACCTCCACAATTTGAAACGAAAGGATAGTAACACTGAAGAGTGCAGGGGAGAAGAGGTGGCACAGACTCCCAAATGCTCTGAGGACAGGGATTGGTTGCCCAAGACTTCGAAGTCAGCACTCCTCCGTGAGGGTGCTGGGTCAGAGTTGGCTGGGGGCACAGTCACACAGAAATCCACCCCTCTACAACGAACCCTATGAAAAACGAAATCAAATACAAATGCAAAGGACTGCCTGTGGGGATGCCAGAGGGAGTTTCTAGGCTCCTCAGCACTGGGAGTTGGTAGCAATGGTTACTGTGGTGAACATACCCTAAGATCACCCCACGTGATCTCCACCTCCTGGAGTTCAAGGCTTTGTCTAATTCTTCCCATTGAGTGAGGGCAGGACCTGGGCCTTGCTTCCAATGAGCAGAACACAGCAAAGAGGATGGGATGTCACGCCCATGGTTACCTCACACTGTAAGACTACAGCCAGACTCCCCTTGCTGGCTCTGAAGGAGTAAGCTGCCATGCTGTGAGAGAGCATGTGCAAGGCGCTGTGAGCAGCCCCTGGACAACAGTCAGCAAGAAACAGGAATCTCAGTTCTACAACTGCAAGGAGATCAATTCCACTAACAACCGGAGGGAGCTTGGAAGCAGGTCTTTTCCTGGTCAAACCTCTGATGAGACCACAGACCCAGCCAACACTGAGAATGCAGCCCAACGAGAACCCAGATAAGCAACAGAAAGGGTGAGATAATAAATGTATGTTGTTTTTGAGCCACGAAGTTTGTGGTAATTTATTACAGAGCACAGAAAACGAACAGTTGCCGGGGAGGAAAGTATTGTAGCTTTGGGCTCAGAACAGGCCTCCCACTGGTGGCCAGGGTTAGGGCCCCAGACCACAAGGTCCAGTCAGACACCTGAGAGCAGCCGCTGGCCAGCCAGGAGAGTTCTGTGCCACTGAGAGCAAGGACTGCCCTGGCACAGAGAAGTGGACATCCCTGGAAGAGGGCCGCTCAAAGTGAGTTGATGGGAGTGTAGCCGAGGTGAGAAGTGGGTTCTGGATATATTTTCAAGGTAGAACCTTCAAGACTTCCTTATGGACAAGTTGTGGGGAGTGAGGGAAGAAAGCAGGTGAAGACGACTCTAAGGGTTTCTTCCTTGGCAACTGAGAGAATGGATGACGTTGCCACCACTAAGATCGGGAAGGCTGTGGGTGGCAAAGGTTTGGGGGGAGAACAAGAGTTCCATTCCAGGTGTGCTGAATTTGACATATCAAGCAGATATCCAAGCAGATACGTCAGTAGACAGTTTACTACACAGCTGAGTCTGTACTTCAGGAGATGGGGCTAGAGATGTAAATTAAAGGTGATCAGCTTCCAGGTGGTATTTAAAGCGTGAGACCAGATGAGATCTCAATTAATTTAAAGAGACAGCACATAGGGACGAGCTCTGGGACTATGATGAGGTTGGGGAGAAAAGGAGAGAAAGCAGCCAAGGAGACAGGAAGAGTATCTGGGGAGGATGGAAGGAAGCCCAGAGACCGTACTATCCCGGAAGTCAAATCAAGGATGTGTTTCAAGAAGGAGGCTACGAGCCACCCTGCCAATTGCTTCAATGAACAAATTTATAATCTCCTCTTTAATTTACGTATCTTTTAGAAACCCCAAGAAGGAACCTGGATTTCATGCACCCTATGGAAACAGATATGAGGGGATCTGTTCACATGTAATGTGTGATTAACCTGTTCAGTGGGCCCATGATCCAATTAATCTGTGGAGCTGGTTCAGAATAGTCTGGCTCCTTGGAAAGAAGTCACCTTCATGCTGCTGGGTCATTCCTCAGGAACGGCTGGGGCTAACCTGAGCTAAAAAGAGCTCTGACCATCCCGCGTCTTAGGGCCCTCACCGGCACACAGCTTCGGAGAGCTGAGAAGGGTTTCTGTCCAGCCTTTCCAAAGGGATGTTCTGAAGGGAAGAGGGAATAAAAGGGCATTTATTGGGCAGAGATGTGATTCCTGAAAGCCAAGAATCAGTAAAACAAAATGAATCCATATGCTTAAGAGTGTAGCAACGTAGTGCTAACCAGGCACCGTGGCCCTGACTGCATAAGACACGGGAGAAGCAGCTGAGACAACAGAGCCCAACGCATTGAAAAAAGCCATCCCAGCATGACAATTACTGCAGGACAGTGCCCTGCCTTGCATCTAGGAATGGAAAGAGAATATTAATAGAAAAAAAAATTGGATGAAATGCAAATAAAACCCACAATTTAGTTAAGAGTAATGTACCCATATCCATTTCTTAGTTTTGACAAGTGTATCATGGCAATGTAGAATATTAATGATGAGGAAACACAGTAATATGGAAAGTCTCTGTAATTTCCTTATAACGTTCCTGTTCCATCTAAAATGATCCCCAAATAGAGTTTATGTTGAAAATGGAAAGAAGGAAAGCCAACGTACACTGTGGGGGGTTGTGTGTTTGCTTCGATTCTGTAGCATTTCTTCTCTGAGTCAGAGTCTCTGGTCTTAAACTGTGTCTACCCCCTCCCACCTCCACACCTGACTCTAATTCTGTGATGAGACCCCTCAAGTCACATGGGCTCAAGGACTGGAGTAGCTGGGTCTGGGCGAGAAATAAATACTCTCCTTTGATGTGGCCCAACGTGAGGCACTGGAACAATCCAACAGGCAAACTCTGGGCTCTACGAATCAGACAGAGTTTCCCACAGGTCAGGCATTCTCAGGCCTGGCAGCGCCAACCTCGGGATTGTAGGGAGTTCTCACCGATTCCGACTTAAGTGGTACAAGGTATGCCTGAGGCAGAGAGGCTTTGGAAGCTCCCCCGTGACTCTAATGTGCAGTCAAAGGGAAGAACTGTATGTGGCCACTGTCACCGCCACTCTGATTTTCCTCGGCAGGTAACCCA